TTAGGCCCAAGTCCAGGTCTAGCACTGGCAGATGCCTAAATGACCAGCCACCGCGCGTCGTGCGGGTCTACTGAAACGCTTTTAGAAGTCACTCTGTTGTCGATGTCGTCCTCCGTACGTACGCATGGGTCACAGGTAAGTGCATTAATCAAACGATAAAAAATTATTTAATCCTAGTTTAATCAAAATTTAAAATTTGGCCGGCGCCCACGCCGGCTCTTCAGTCATCAAAGATAAAAATCACATGCGCCTCGAGCCTGAGCGCCCACACACTCTCTGCTCTAGTCAACTATCCCGCCAATGTAAACCTCAGACTCAACCGCGCCTAGCGTGGTATACTTAAACTTTAAACCAAAACTGTTTTCTGTCGCTTGCAAAAACCAGGGCGGATACCCTAATAAGGGTATTAGCACCGACAACGTCCTTCGCCACGAGGAGCACGATACCCCAGCGGATCCCACACAAACCCGGGATGTGCACCAAGCCGGCCGATGAGGTGTGATGCGGCATTGATGCCCTATTGGGACCGTGAAATGACCCGGCATCTCGGCATCGGTGCTCGCCCTGCACCTCGTCCTCTCGCTCCCCCTCTGCGCAGTGCTCTGCCAACGTGTGCGTTATGCTCTCCTACCCCATCTGCACCTGCTCCTCCTGCCCCATCTGCTCCTGCTCCTCCTGCCCCTCCTGCCCATGTTGTTCCTCGCCCCCCTGACCCTCCTGCCCATGCTGGCCCTCCTGGCCCTTCTGCCCCTCCTCCTTCTACCCATGATGTTCCCCGCCCCCCTGCCCAACACCATCCTCATCCCCACCCTGTTGCTCCTCATCCTTCTCCTCATACCCACCCCATTGCTGGTCATCCCCCGCCTTATCACCACCCTGCTGCTCCTCGTCCTCCCCATCCTCATCGTGATGACGACGTGGCGCCTCTTGCAGGCCACGGACTCTGGGACCTCAGTCCAGATTACGTGCCCCCGGGATATACGGCGTGATCTCCTCTCTCCTGGTCCACGATTCGTCTGAGTCTGACCTCTCATCCACCCAGCCCTCGCCTGGAATGTCCTCCTCGTTGTTCTCCTTGTCGACACCCTCCTGCTCACCCTCGTTGTCGTCCTCCTCTAACCTCTCCACGGGTGTCGAAGTCCCGGGCACTGCAAGATCACATCGAATGCTGGTGCTACCTGCACCCGAACGATCGTCATCAGGATCGACCTCACCATCATCAACAGCGTCCGTCACACCCGCCTGATCGCCCTTCAAATCCTCATCTTCCCAGTCCGCTACTAGCCCCAACCACCCTCCTGCCACAGTGGGGTCATCATCACCCTTGTTCTTGAGCCTGAAGCTCCGGTGCGAGTGCACCAACTTCTCGGTGCGCTGCTGGTGCAATTTGTTCCTGGTCTTGGTCTGCACAAGAGCCCAAGTGCTCCAGTTCCTCTCAGCTGCAGAGGAAGTAGTCCAGATGGAGAGCACCTTGACCGCCAGAGCCTTGGTCCTTGGATGGCCAGCCCCGTGCGCATCCCATCACAGAACCGCGTTATCCTTCGATGCCCGTTGCACTGCACGATCGGACCCAAATACCCCGTTCCCAAACTGGAAGTCATATAACTGGTCCATGCAGTCCGTGAACCTCTTGCTCCCCCTGTTCCCGATCAGTCGCTCCACAACGCTCTAAAACTGTGCCATGACCTCCACTTTGCCGAAAACGACAATGTCCCTCAACATAGGGTCAAGCAGTCGGGCAACTGCATGGATGGGACTGAGTAGCATGTCAGTCCTGTTTGCCACCGTCGACAGGATCTCATCCCGCTCCTCCTTAGTGAGGCGGGCTGCACGAACGAACACCGGCAACTGACAGGTCATGTCGTGGATGCACGACAGGCAGTGGACATCCTTGTCCACCTCTCGCAACACATTGTAAGGGTCCTTCATCAGGGCGGCCAACTTCTTGACTTCAGCCCAGAAGCTTTTATCAAGAACATTCTCCTCCACGAAGAAGGCCTTCTCCCTGATATCCCCTCGCCACACCATGTTCTCCTAGGCGAGTCCGTTCACAATTCGGGTGATGGCCTTCGCGCAGACCACGAGACGCTGCAGCATCACGTAGTGGGTCCCAAACCTCATCTACGCAGGGCGAAGCAGGCAGGTGCACTTAAGTTCTGGAGACTGCAGCAGCTGCATCCTGAACTGCGATCGTGGCCACCTGTGAAGTTTGAAAAAGTTGACCACCTTGTTTGCCTTGTTGATGACGTCGGCCGCCCATCCGGTGAAGTTTGAAAAAGTTGACCACCTTGTTTGCCTTGTTGATGACGTCAACCTCCTGGCAGCACTCGTATTCACTGCGAAGGAGTCTATGCAGATCGCAGTGATCTTCTCCACCCCCCACTCCCTAAAGAACCTCTTCCAACTGGCGACGACTGCGGCTGAGTCCTCCCCCTCGCTCACATCCTCGCACTTGATGAAGACCGACTTTGACCGCCCTGCGAGGATGTAGTTCATAAGTGATCGCCCACAAATGTCTATGGCGCCATAGTTATGAATGTGTACCCTGTAACTTCCCAGTCTGCCAGGATCGCCTACTCCTCATCCTCCAACCTTCCGTGCAATTGATCAAGGAGTCGACATCTGAGCGGGATGTACCCAGTGGGCACAAGAGGGTGCTTCACCGACGGCTGCGGCCCTTAGCACGCCAAAGTGAACTTCTTGAAGCTCTTGCTTTTGGCGGCATTGAACGGGATGGCGTTCTCTACAAAGAACTTGCAGCAGGAGTCATCCATGTCCTGCAGGCTCGGGTTCTTTGCATACTTGACGATGCTCGTCTGCCTAGCCTGCACAGGCATGCGGCCCGTCTGCCGCGCTGTCTGCGAGGAAGCTGGTATCCCGACAACTATGCCTCCACCCGTCACATCCCCCCTTGTGCAGTCGTCGCCAACATCAACAGGATGGCCACCAGCCGCCTCCTCACCCTCCCCACCGATGGAGCCTCCTCCCCCTCCTCCTCCTGCAACATCCTCCACCGCAGGGGCGTCATCCTCGTCACTCGGATTCTCCTCCATCGCCCACTGCACCCTCTCCTGCATGTCCGTCGGGAACTCAGCGCCAGTCTTATGCAGTCTTCTCCAGATCGCAAGGGTGGCATGAGGGCACCTTGACAATGGCCTCTTCTTGTGGAAGTGCTCGCCGGCCCGGTTTTGTGTCCCTGTGTACTCAAGGCCACACAACTTGCACTTCAGCCTTCTGCGTCCACGAGGGTTTCCCGGCAGAAGTTGACCAGCAGTCACCC